GTTTTTGTCAAACACTTATCTCCAACCACTACCCATGCAAGAAACTTCACTTTAGAGGGGGCCAGGCCACCCCAAACTAGGTGACTGGGGAAAAAGTCTAGCATGGCAGGCTCCAAACCAGAGTACAAGGATTTAACTGAGAAAGATTCAGACTTGGACCAACCCCAACAGTGCTGATCTGAGGCAAGGGGGTTTAACCTTACATCTTGCAGCTTTGCCAACAGCTCTGCCAACCTGAGGAACCTCCCAATCATTAAAGTCTCTTCGGAAAGAGGGAGTCCAGACAAGAGAATCACCTGAAACAACATAGCACTCAGCTACCTTGGCTTCCTTATCAGCGGCCAAGAGAAATAATTCTGGAAACAAGTCTTTCAAAGGGAAGTCTGAGCACCAACTGTCATGCCAAAAATTCAACCTTGTACCATTCCCAACCTTACACTTAATTCCTTTCACAAAATGAGAATAAGCCTTATAGATCCCCTTCCACACCCCACATCCATAAGAGAGGTTAGACTCAGCTGCATACCACCCGTTAGCATGAATACCATACTTCTGTGCTATAACTTGCCTCCAAAGCTCATTGGGCTCTTGAGGAACCTCCAGAACCATTTATTGATCAAAAAAAAAGGGATGTGATCGGAAACTACCCTCGGAAGGGGAGTCCTGGTTGGTCCAGGTAAAACGAGCACCCGCCAGAGTTAAGTCCAGCATCTCCCACTCTTGCACAAAATCTGAAAATAGCTTCATTGAACTGTCAAACCTTCTAACGCCTTGGAAAGTTGTATCCAGCTGCTGTGAGTAAAGTTTCACCGTAATAGAGAAGACTCCAACATGATTATCTACCACAGTAAAATTGGAGCTATTCCACACCAGAGCTACACCCCTACAGTATTTACTGCTGGAATATAAAGCCAATCACACAGCTGGAAACCCCAAATACTCCTTATGATAGAGAAATACAGTTTCTGTAATTTAGCTTCCTGTAACATCAAGATATCCGGCCTCTTTTCTTTGATAAAGTCCCCTGCCACCATCTGTCTCCTCCCAGATCCTAACACTCTTATTATTCCACAATAAAATCTTAATATTAACCATAGTCAACGATGAGCAGATCTACTTTTCCTTCCCATGCTTCCAGAGCCCTCATTCAACCCCCAAGTTAGATGAAGAAGTTCTTTTGTTTGTCTCCTGTTTTGTTTGCCTTTTTCCATTATGTGCCTATGACAGTTTTTGTTCAATGGAAAAGGTGGTCAACAAATGGGATGGCAGACTACTTTGCAAAGATGGGGGTGCATAAGTCTGAACTTTTTTTGGCTCAGTTGAATTGTGTTGTTGTAGGTTGGGATTGCACCTCGTGTCCCTATTGAGATGGTTTGTCTTGTAAATCTCGATGTAACCCCTTCTCTGTTTAATAAAACTCTATCATTTATCAAAAAGATTTCTGGCCTAAGAACACAACTAAATTATCAATATTACCAACCACATCCACCACCAATGATCTAACTTTTTTGGTAGGCTAATTTGATGGCCTGACATGTACTTGAACCATCATAATATGTCCCCATAGAGGTCTAAGAGATCATGATGGTTTCAATTCTCTTATTAAAAGACAAGAGACATTATCCTCGACACATCTGGTGCCCATAGTTAAATTTGGTTTTAAGACAAGGGAGTATTCAACTACACCTTTTTCTTCCATGATCTAAACAACCTAAAGCCTTTATTGAACTTCCCTTGGAAGATCTCTATACAAACTAATGAGGAAGGACCCAGTTCCTGCTAAGATTAGGACTCTTTGCTGGAAGGTTGTCCGCATGATTGTCATACCTGTTATGTTTTCCAATGGCAATGATGATGAAAGAAGTCTGTTCTCTCAAAGATGTGTACTACTTCCACTGTAAGGGAATTAGCAAATCAACTTATTCATTGAGTGTAAGGCAGTGTTTGGGAGTGCTTATTGTTTCTAAATGGGCTATTCAAAAAAGTGGTTATTAAATAAGAAACTTATGAGTGTTTGGTGAAGAAGTGTTTCTTTCAAATGGGGGTAGTATAGGTATTCTGATAATTAGGTGGCAGGCCAAGACAGGCCAGAAGTGCAATAAGTGCTTCTTCAAAATGTGGGTGGGAAAAGGCCCAAATTTTCAGGTTCTTCAAGATGGGCTTATTTTGGTGAGAAAACGCTTATTGGGATTTTTTTACCAAATGCCCAAATTGGCTTGTTCTTGGGTGATTTTGGAATCTTTTAGCACTTTCCCAATAAGCACTTAAAAGTAGCACTTTTAAATGCAGGATAAGTCTGTTACAAGAATCTGGAATTGCCTTCATGTCTTTCTTTTTTCAGAGAAAGACAACTTTTCATTCAAAAAAGGGGAAGGATGAACATGAGCAGATGTACAATCAAGGGCTTGACAACAAAAAGACTAAAGCCCACTCAAGAAACAGCCAAATAATAACAACCATACAAAATATCCCTTCCCAAACCAGATTTAGCTAAAGTGTCTACCATTTGACTTAACTCTCTCGGGATCCATCAAAAACAGCAGTGCATTGAGGGGAAATTCTAAGGTGATAACTGGTTGGATCAACAATCCCGATTCAGTGATATGGAATTATAGGGTGGCGATCAAGAAATTTAAGTGACTGACCACAAATTTGGTTGCAAGCGTTCAATGGGAAAGGAGATTGGTATGGAATGGAAAACTCCTTGGCTAAGCAAAAAGTGACTAGGGACCAGTTTTATTGGGCTCATTTGTAATTATTTCATTTAATTGAGGCTGTGTCTTGAGCCTCTTTAGGAAGCCCCAACTGTATACTATTCCGTTACTGAGTAATTAATAATTTTTCCTATTAGTTATCAAAGAAACAAAAGAAAAAAACTCCCTAGGAAACAAAGAAAAATTGCATACACCCTTACTAATGATGATATAAAGCATATAAGAGGAGAGGAGCAATGAGTTCTGCTTAAATAGATTCAATCCCTCTGAGGTTGTGACAGACTTGATCACCATGCTATTCTGATGAACAATAGTTTATTGATGTCCCAATAGACCTTGTAATTAAGATGAAAGGCCATAGGATCACCCTTCCTTAGTCATCTGGTCAGGGGTGGAGCCAGGGGGGACCCAGGGGAGTCATGCCCCGCCCCTATGGTTCAGAAAATCTTTACAATAATACAGTTTTTTATGTAAATTTTCCCCTCCCCCCACTCTCCACCTCAATGGTTGCCCCCCCCCTATGAGTCCATCCATACTTCATTTAGGTTTTGGCCCCCCTTATAAAAATTTTTTGGCCCCACCCCTGCATCTGGTTATAGTTTGGGAGTCCCCCCAACCCTGAAAGAAATTATGGTCAATTTTGATGGGTGCTCTCAACTATCTAGGCAACTAGGTCCCCCATCCCTCAGAATCATATGCATCTTAGATATCAAATGGGAGTGATTCTTCTAGTACCAGGTATCTATTTTCAAAGTGGGTCTATTGAGGCTAGGGATGCCAGTGAGTTGGGTTAAGTGGTAAACCCAAACTGACCCAACCCTATTGGGTCAAGGTTGGCTCAGCCTTGATCAAGTTGTGGTAAACCTGAGCTAAACACAACCCGTTGACATTGCAGCATTGAAATATTTATAAATATAAGCTTAGTTGAGTATAGGTGTACTATATATGGAACAAGAAATGTCAGGTTTGACATCCTCTCTTTATTTAGTCGAGTTGGATCATGATCAGGTTGAGATTGCTTCGGGTAGGTTTCGGGGTCGAGGTAGACCCATATCAAACCCAAGGGCAGAACTTGATATACTAAGTGAGTTTTGGAATGATATGGACAGAGGTTAACTGTCAAGGTAACATTAGTTTGATGAGGAATATGTTAGCTGGGCTTGGAGACTAAGACACCCCATTAGAAATGCAATAGATCAAGCATCTAGATTTAATACCACATTTAGATGGATCCCTGGATCTGGAAATTCGGTACCAGATAGTCTAGTTAGAGGAGCTGTAGGAATTGGGAAGACTGGAGTTGTAGAGGGATGCTTCTATCCTGGGTTAGTTGCTCTTCTTGTGTTTGCTGCTTCTTTTCTTTCTTTTGTTTCCTCACATGAGGTTGGGCTGTTGCTCCTCTTGCTATGCAACTCTGGTTTTGTATGTTCCTTGTACTCCAAGTATTTATCATTAATAAAACCATACCTTATTGACAAAATGTATAACATTGTTGTTTCAGGTATAGTGCACCATAGAAGAAAGCATTTTTCAATCTTAAAGTTATAATCATGACAGGCAACAAAACAATTTACAGTATTTGGTAAGAAAATGTAGGCTCTCCTCATGAAAGATGACAAAGTATCTAGCCAAGTTATGTATATTTACATAACATCTCTTGTCAAGCCTTTAATATGGATGGTATAAAAATTTGTCATCCATTCAGACTACAGATACAGACAATTAGGATCCATCCTTAGTCCACTTTTTTCGGCTACTAATAGAATTAAATCATAATCAGGAGGCCTTTTGCTATTTGCAGGGGGATACGCTAAAGGATGGGTTAAGGGTCAATTGCGAGAACAAGTTCACAAGCTCATACCTTTTAACTGACCAGTTCACTAGATGAATTGTTAGCCTAGGAGAGCATCTGACAACAGCACGATATCTAAGGAGGTAGACTACTAATGCAATTCAGTACCAGCTACATTTTGCAAAATCCGCATTTCTTATAGACAAACGGAAAATTTTACCCAGCAACCAACAAAAGAACAAATATTGCAGACATGGAACAGCAATAAATCAAAGTAAAGATGTCTCTCCTGAATGAAATAAAACCCACTTAAAAGCATAAGATCCCAAAGAAACGATGTTTCCACAGATCACTCATAATTCGTCCTGTAAGCTGTTCTAGATGGAATCCCCATCCCAATTTCTTTGCTAAAATAAACAATTCAATACCAAAACTACATGCACGACTCAAAATGAAAGAGAATGAAAGAGTGGGGGTCTGGAAGGGAAACGTACCAGGAGAAGAATCAGAGTGAGAGCCAGAAACAGGAGAGGGGCTTAGAGAGACGTAAATGGCGGTATTATTACCGAAGAGAGTACCAGTGTAGAAAGAAGCAACCATGATAAGCAGAGCCAATAATAGCATCTGCCCTGTCTTTGAATCGAATGCCGACGTTAACCCATACCCCATCTTCTCCTCCTTCTTTCCCTCTTCTGTATACTTGTATAAGTTCTGGTTCTCGTGTTGTATCTGCTTTCTGAGAGATCAGAAGGGTTCTATCGACATTGTACGCAGATCTCTCTGAAACAGAGCTAGATAGAGATGTAGTACCAAAATCTCGGAACTCTGAAGATGGAAGAAGAAAGCTAGTGTCAGTGTGTCACTCGCGCGAAGGAGGCATGTGAGCGTGTGTGACGGTGAAGAGGAACGTTAGATCTTGGGAAGGATCTCCTGGCCAGTACACTCGGGAATCGAGCGAGATTCGCCCCGAGTCAACACACAAAAGTGGGTAGCTAAGGATCCGTTTGGGAGGGCTGAAGAATTGGTTGAGCTACTGTCACCGAGCTGCTTTGGAAAAGCAAAAGCGATTTCAGATATTCATTATCGGCTCTCCTGTGGGATTTTCACCAATTATGCCTTTATAGGTGTAAAACGGGTCATGCTGCATCAGCACGGCACGGCTCGCATGTGGTTTGCGCAAAGTGTGGGCAGAGTCGTGCCTTCCTCCCCTGAATATCGGCTCAGTATGGTCATGGCCCGAACCCATGCGGGCCCATGGGATAGGATGGTTCGTGGGCCAAGCCTTAGGCCCGATTGGGCCGTGGACCGAATCAAAGCTATTTATTTAAAAAATATTGAATAAAAATCTTAAAATTCTTATTTTATATGAAATTTGATGTATGCAATTATTTATATGTACAATAATTAAATAAAGTAGTATGATAAAATTGAAAACAATTATTTATTGTATTAATATATTATATATTATATACTATTATATAATTATAATTTATAAGTATAATATAGAAATATTATATATAAATATATATAGGTCGTATCGCAAGCCAGGTCATGCTAGCTCATGGGCCACGGGCGGCATGACCCACACTGTTGGGCCATGCTGACCTGGCCCACCAACTTAAAACCCCAAATCCAATACAACCGATGCAATTATACTAGGCCACGGCACGGCCTTATTTACACCTCTATGCTTATAGTTATACATATTACAAGTTGTTCAGGTGAAGTGAGGAACCGAAGATCCACCTTTGCAAAGCTGGAAGCCATTTGGGAGGGATTTCTTGGAGCAACTTCTAGCTTTCCAAGGTGGGACCCTCATGAACAGAGTATAAGTTGCATTTGGTGAAAAATCCAAAGAGACCAAATTGGTAGTCAATCAATTCTTTGGTAATGGAGAAATCCCTACAAGAGTCAATAGAGATTCAAGACGCAATAAACACCCTCAAAATTGGTGTTTGGGTAAGCACATGGGGTGGGTATAATTAATTGACCAACCTTCTTAATTACCAATTAGTAAATGAACCGTGTTTAGCATTAGAAAACTATTTGTTTAATATATAAGAATTTTATAATAGTGATTTTCACGATATATATTAAAATATTATTATTTAGGGGTGTTAATGGGCCAGGTCTATCATGGGCGCTGCCAAGTATATTGGTGATGTTCCTGGCCCTACAAATTTTTTGTTAAATCAATATTTATATATAGTTACTAAGTAGAGGCAAGGTCAAAAATGTAATAAAGTGGGTCCTCCCCCCGCCCCCTCCAAAAAAAAAAAACCCTTGAACTAAAATGTTAAAGGATCATTTTCTAATGCTCCTCCAACTCCCAAAATTAAAAACTTTTGTTTCTTTTTTCTTTGAAAATTTATAATAGACCCAAACCTTCCCACCCCATTTCTCTACACAGTCTACTTCTACTCCCCACCTCATTCTCTTATTTAACTTGCCTCCCCAAGAGAAAATTTCTAGCTCCGCCCTTAGGGTCTATGCCTTTTAAATTGGAGAAATAGCTCTTTTCTTCTTTATCCCTAATATAGGTTGTTAAAAAAGCAACAATTAATTGACAAAAGCTCTTATTTCCTTGCCCAATATAAAATTGTGCGATTGAATTCAATAATGCATAATCTATATTATCAAAACAGCCGATGATGTCCACTTCAATTAGTCAAACAACCCCCCTCAACATGGGCATAGAATGTTAGAGCCCCCATGCCCTTCTAAAACTATGTGTTTGTCAAAAGACTCAAAACCAAACCAATTATATAAGTTCTGATTTGATGATTTTGTCCCAATTAATTTATTGAGTCGGGGCTAACCTGAACCAATTATACAGTTAATCACTTCATTTTTCTTGTAAACTTTGTTATACTTTATATTTTAAATAGTAGATTTTATTAAGATAATTATTGTTAAAATCATATATTTTATCAACATGCAACAAATTAGGAGTGTTCATGGGTTGGCTCGGTTTGATTCTAAGTTGTTTGGCCAACTGAATAGATCTAATCGGACTGGAGAATTAATCACCCAAAACCAACTGACCATTATTGAGAATTAGCCAAATCAAGTTGTATTGGTTTGGGTCGGTTTTTGATTTGGTCAATCAGTTCAAATGATTTAAATTTAAAATATTACAATAATATTATTAAAAAATTAAATTAAAAAAAAATAAAAATTATAATATAAAAATATATTAAATTAAGAAATATGGAAATTTTCCCAAATGTTTTAAATTTAAAATGTAAAATATTGATATACAACCAAACCAAAACTGACCCGACCTCTTGACTTAGCATAGTAGCTGAACTGAACCCAACCAAACATACTATAAAACCAACCAACTCCCTAATACCAACAGTTTAGTATTTCTTCAATTTGATGAACAGCCATAATGCAAACAGTTTAGTATTTCTTCAGTTTTGTTAAGGTTATATTATTAAAATGATGTTCTAAATTTTTATTACTGTTGATAGTTTTTTTTTGTCAATCTATTACTGTTGGTAGTTATAGCCTCATAGGTGTCAAGTACAATCAGGTCTAATTGGCTGAGACCCGATTGTTCTGATTAATAATCCGTTCAGTTCTGGGTCATTTATATTATCTCCATTAATAATCGGAACGGGACTGGTACACCCTGAACCAGACCTGTCCCATTGACACTTGACAACTCTTTATTATAAGTCTTGATTTGGTAACTAATAATTTAATATGAGTATTTTACAAAATAAATAGAAAGGATTGAGTGTTTCGTAGAATTATTAATTAATTTTTAGGGTAAAATATAAAAATCTTTTCTATAATTTCATTTTAATAAATACTTCCCCTGAATTTTTGAGAAACTCGATAAAAACCTTCCTTCTATTGCTGTTCTAGATAGAAAACGTTAGATTGATGTACCAGTTTTTTTTTCCAAATATCCATTCCACCTTCTTATAAATTATTTTACATACAAAATTACTGAAATAATCCTATTTTAACTTTAAAAAAACATATTTCGGTCATTTTGTATGTAAAATTACTGAAATGATTGTTAAGAGAGGGTTTTATTGAGTTAAAATAGGGCTATTTCAATAATTTTTTATATAAAAGGATAGAATGGTTATTTGGAAAAAACTGGTGCATCAATCTAATATTTTCCATCTGAAACAGTGACGAAAGGGAGGTTTTTGCTCAGTTTCTCAAAATTTCAAGTGAGGTATTTGTTAAAATAAAATTATAAGAAAAGTTTTTATGATTGTCAGAAAATTTAGGGGAGATTTTTGTATTTTATCTTAATTTTTATGTTATAAAATGAAAGTAACAGCGTATTTGAATGACCATACGTATGAATAGCCAAAAACAATAACTATAATTCCAAAATCCAATATAAGAAGGTAGATTTTTTGGTTGAGAGGACCGGAAGTTTTTTAGGAAGGCAAGTGGCTTTTGGTATGAGAAAGGGAGAAAAAGATGAAGAAATAGGTGGAGAGTGGACGGTTGTGACTGGTCATATGATTAAAGAAAAAAAGATGAGGAAATGCAAGAATATATCAATAAAAAGGAGATAAAAAACATGCCACGTGCTAGTCTCCATATTCTCATTGACATGTGTATGACATATGGAATCCAATGTCCAAGGCCATACAAGTGCCATGTGATTATGCCAATATATATTCCAAAACAAGTTGACACGTGTGTGATATATAATATTACATGTGTTTAGTATTGTGTTCTATTATCCAAATTGTATACATTTCTTTTTGAAATTATTCTATCTGAATACATTTTATATAAATGTTTTAAAAAACGATCCGGAGCAGAAACCGTTTTGATCACTGGTTTTTGGGTCAATGGTTCAATTCGATTCAAATAGATGGCCCGTTCTAATAAAAAAATTAATTAAATAAAACAAAAAAATTGCTAAAACTGTTGAATAGGTCGAACGGATCGATTGTTCGACTGCCCGGGTCAATAGATTATTGACCAATTCAATGGTTTTTGGCCAAAAACTGGGTTTAGGATTAAACAAAATAGGTTGCTTGAATGTTTCCCGGGCCGAACAGTCCAACTATCCGGGTCAGCGGTGGTAAAACCATGTTTTATATAACACACAAGGTCTATCCAAACTGCACCTTCCTCTACAATACACAGTCACATATAAAAATCCCAAAGCAGTCTAAAAGATAAATGCACTAAAGTAGTATTTTTTGCAGTCTTATTAATTTCACAAAATCAACTCCAATCCTTATCTTCCCAAACTCTGAGAAATTTAATCTTCCTTCTTGCACCCTCCAATGGCTCAACTCAACTCAGCCTTCTTGCACCCTCCAATTTCATCTCCCAAACTCAAGCTTTCTTCACACACACACACACACAAAAAAGCCTTAATCCCAATCCCGAATGTTTGGATCGGCTCATCCAATGGTCCCAGTTATTTGGTGTCTTGGGAGGGTGGACTGGACATAGACTGATAGACCTAACCTTTAGACATTTATTTATTTATTTGCACAAAGTGGCTGCTAAACTAACAAATAGAAAAATGCATTCTTTCTTGTTCTGTCAAACCACTGAATACATTCATGAACAATCAACTGATTGGGTAAAAAACAAACCTAGACATACTTTCCATGCAATCCCATATTTCCATGAGGTCTCCTACTCTTAGTCTTTGACCCATCATTTGGAACAACTGTAGCCCTATTATACATGACCTATGAAGTGAAAAAGGATAATTTGATCATAACCATGTGGTTTAAAGTATAATTGGTTTCATTTCTACAGCAATTTATAAGAAATATACAATGAATTATTCCACCCTTAGTCATGCCTTTCCTCCATTTGCAAAGACAATCTCTGTAACACCTCATAAACCAAGTCAATTTGTGGGTGATACTTGTCGGCTGCAATAAAGGAATGGACACTATTTTGGATTTCAATCCAGCTGCACCCAACCACCTTCTGAGTTCCTCTTACCTGCATTGCTTCTCTAATTCCTGATGCATCCACCCATTCTCCAATTGATGCGAAGGTGTTAGCAAGAAGCACATAATTTGAAGAGATCTCAAGACCATTTTCATAAAGATGTTCTGCAACACGCCTTGCCATGTCTAGGTTCCCATGTAATTTGCAAGCTCCAAGTAATGCACCCCACATTATGCTGTCAGGCTTGAGAGGCAAACCTAAAATGAAAGCTTCTGCCTCATCTAAAAGTCCAGCTCGTGCTAACATATCAACCATACATGTATAGTGCTCTTCCTTGGGTTTGATCAAGTACTTATTAATCATGTCATTGAAATAACGACGACCCTGTTCTACTAAACCATTGTGACCACATGCACTTAAAACACCAATAAAAGTGACATGGTTTGGGACAACCATTTTTAGACTTGACTGCACCATCTCATCAAAAAGGTTTAAAGCCTTCAATGCCTCACCGTTTTGAGCAAATCCGCATATCATTGCATTCCATGAAGCAATATCCCTCTCAGGCATGATTTGAAAGACCCTCAATGCATCATTCATCTCACCACACTTGGAATACATATCCACAATTGCACTCCCCACAATCACATCACTTTCTAACCCAAACTTTAGAACCAGGCCATGAAACCTTTTACCCCTTTCAAATGCGTTAGAGTTTGCACAAGTATTAAGCAAACCACCCAAAGTAAAAGAATTTGGTTCCACATCAGCCAACCTCATCTGATCAAACAACCACATCGCATCATTCTCATGCCCATTTTGTGAGAGCCCAACTATCATTGCAGTCCAAGAAACCACATTTCGCTCAGGAATCTCCTCAAACAACTGAGCAGCATAGGCAACATACCCGCAATTGGAATACAAGTTAACTAATGTGTTGCTAGTGAAGCAATCAGAACAGTACCCACATTTAATAATCAATGAATGCACTTGCATTGCTTCAAAAACTAACAATCGAGACGTTAACTCATTAAGGATTATAGCATAAGTATAATGATCAGCTCGAATCCCTTCACTAACAAGTTGTCGGAACAGTTGCAAACAGGCCTCACCCTTTCCAAACTTAGAATAGCAAGAAATCAAAGCATTCCATGTCACCAAATCTCTGTTAGTCATTCCATCAAATACTCTATTCGCATCTTCCATTTCTCCGGCTTCTGCATACATTCTAAGAAGATTAGTGCCAAGATAAACATCAGAACATGAACAAACCCTAGTAATATCTGCATGAATTTGCCGCCCGATTTCTAAATCACAAGAAGGAATTATAATCGAATAAGTATAGGAGTCAGGCCTATTGGAACTACAACGCATCTGGACAAAATGGGTCATAGCTTCCTCCAGTCTTTGGTTCTGGATGCATCCAGAGATGACGATATTCCATGATCGAGAATCGGGTTCGGGTGTGATGGAGAAGAGTTTCTGGGCTTCATCGATTTGGCGAGATTTGACGTAGCCTGATAAGATGATGTTATATGAGACGACATTGGGTTGAAGCATGAAGCGAAGGAGCTTGTGAGCGTCGGACAAGCCGCCGGACTCGGCGTAGGATTGGAGGAGGAGGTTGCATCTGTAGACATGGTTCTGGAGTCCAGTTTTGAGGAGCGAAGCATGCAGAACTTGAGCTTTGAACATGTGAGAGAGTCTCGAATGTGAGACAGCGTCGGACGCATTATGGTTTACGGTTACGGCAGTTGATTTGGTTAGTGATGAACTGAGGATAGGAACTCTCTCCTTGACCAAAAACCTCATCCAATGGGGTAGCTAGGTGGGCTTAGGGTTGGGCTTGCCCGCTTGGGTTGGGCTTGTATCTCAAAACATTTGTTTTACCACGTTGCCTTTTATTATTGCTAGTAGAAGATTCCATTTTTTATATTTACCACGTGGCAAATGATATGTCTTGAGAAAACCCTCTTGCTTTGATCAATGTAATTAATCTACTTTCTTTGATCATTGTAAAGATATCCTGTTATCCACAAGCCACCTTCTATTCTTAAAAATGTTAGGTCGCATTTGGATTAGGGTGGATTTGGAATTTAAGGTGGAATTGGATTTGTTAATTTTACATTTCATACTTCTTTCTTTTTTTTAGGTAAATTTCTTAAATTATCCTTATAATTTAGTTAATTGACTAACTCTAAAAATTGATTAAGTGTATTCTATTGTTTTTGGAATTGACTAAGTGTTCCTTTAACCCTTAAATATGAACGGAAAAAGTAAAATATCCCTTATATCTCTATGCGAAATTACATTTTTATCCATATTTCTAACTTTTAACTTGATCTCAGAGGCTACCATCGCCATCGGTGACAGTGGTCGCTGCAAATACCGAATGGCGGGGGTCCGGCGGAAGTCAACTCCAGCCGACGAAAAACGGCACTGGAACCACTATAGACTTCCGCCGGAGGTCAATGAGTTTTTTTCTCCTCTGTTCTTCTACCAGAGGTTTAAACGCTAGATTCAAAGTCGTTTCTTCCTCTTCGTTTATGCGCATGGGTTTGACGCGTCGGCACCAATTTCTTATTTCCAGTTGTTCTTCTTCGTCCACCTTTCCCCTTGGAGAATAAGTAGAGCCTAAACGCTTTTTTTTTTTTCACTAAATGCATTGAACGACGTCTCAATCTCTTCTACTTGTTCTTCTTTGAGAAGTAGGGCAGAAAGTTGCAATTTTCTATCTAGCGTTTAAGCCTCTGGTAGAAGGACTTTGAGTGCTCTCCAACAATCTAATCCATCTTTCTCTCTCTCACCTCTTTTTTCCCCTTTCGCCGGAACAGAGGTGGAGATATGATATCTTATTTCTTTTCTTTTCATTCTCGTACGAACTTTTTAACTTTCTTCTCTTGATCTCCAAAAACCGATGTAGGCAACTCAGTTGCAACAGCTGTTTACTTCCTTTTGAAGGGTAAAAAGAAAATCTCTCTGTCTGCTCCCATCTCGATTTTTAGATTTTAATAGAAAACCGATGATATACATGTTGGAAAGAACGCCCCTTTAATCAGAAACCATCGACCGACTTTGAACGAAGAACAGAGGAGAAAAAAACTCACCGACCTCCAGCGGAAGTCCGTGATGGTTCCAGCACCATTTGTCATCGGCTGGAGTCGACTTCCGCCGGACCTCCGCCATTCGGTATTTGCAGCGACCGCCATCGGTGATGAAGGCGATGGATAAAAATGTAATTTCGTATAGGGATATAACGGCCATTTTATCTTTTTCCGTCCATATTTAACGGTTAAGAGTATATTTAGTTAATTATAAACAGTAAAGGTACATTTAATCAATTTTCAAAATTAGTCAATTAACCTTAGGAGAGCCAAATAGTTTAAAAAATTTATCCTTTTTTTTTCATTTCAAAAGATTTTGAATTCCACACAGGGAACAAGTTATTTGATTATTTCATTTCCTCTGAATCAAAGATGAATCAGAATTCAAATCCCTTCGGTTCCTGCAATCCAAACACTAACCTTAGGAGAGCCAAATAGAATTGCAAAACTGCCGTGATGGCCTTCCGTTTGTTTGATTGAAGCTTCTTCCAGCTACTCTTTTAAAGCAATTCAATCGAACTTCAGCTCAGAAGATCCCAGATTTTTCTTGACCTTTTGAAAGCCCAACCACAGCCTAGCAAATTGGCCCACTTCTTAAAATTTGAAGGGATGGGAATGGGCCAATGGCCCAGGCCCGATAGTGTAAATTCTTCAATCGCTTCAAACAAAATCCTGCAAGACAATTGGGATTACTTGATTATGCTCTTCATGCCCAAATTTTTTGCACATGAATCCCATAATTGTGCACAATAGAGAATTTGTTCTAAGAGAGAATCTGCTAAATGCCGTGGTCTCTATGTGATTTTTCCTCTTGTAAAGCATACACATTTTTAAACATAATCTTCGCTGAGCCCGGATCTATTTTTGCAAGCAAAATCTCTGCACGCAGAGAATACCAACCATACATCAGGAATATCTCTCATACATGTATATGTTAAATTCATGGAAAGATTTTCCTAATTAGTATATGGCTGGATGCCCATGCTTTCAGAATGTGTGCAGAGTTTTCGTTTTCATATGAAATCAAAGTGATTCTATCTTTTGTGAAGCAATGAGTCCTCAATCAATCAATCTTCATCCTTGTCCCCATTCAAAACAACCATTTTCCCAAGAGCCAAATACCTGTGGTGATGTGAAATGAATTCTTTTTGTGGAATTCACATTGGCTTCCCACAGGCGACATTTCACCCCAAACACGCCCCACAGCACATCCCAATTGGGGAGCCATTTCAAACTTTTCTTTTTGAATACAAATATATAATTAAGGTTCAGTTTGGAAAGAATACAAATACAAATATATACACTGCAAATACATACATAATAATATAAAATAGAAGGTTTTACACTCTATATAATTGTATTTATACTCTTTGGCTCAGTTTGAAAGGAGTACAAATACATACAAAATACAAGGTTTTGCACTCTTCAAATTTGTATTTATACTCCTTCCAAATTAAGCCTTACTAACATCTCCCTATCTCCCCATCCCATAATTAACAACATACAAGGGGAGATTTTCCCGCTGCAATAGAAAGCCCTTCATGGGGAGAATATCAGTTCTATTTTAGTGAGAGAGCAATCCATGTCTTCATTGTTGATTGATTATGAATTTATAGGGCCAGTTAATTGGACCCATTTACCCATTTTAATGGGCAATTTTCTTCTTCTCCACTATTAGGGTACGACCAAATAGACACTGATTGGCTGAACTGGACCAGTTGGTTGAACTGAGTTGACCGTGATTGGGTCATTAAAAACCCAAATATTGAACTTCCTACCAAAAAAATCTATTTTTATTGATAGGTAAATAAACTATATTATAATGGCAAGAGTTACATCTGAAGCCCCTGGAGGGTAATGATCCAAAAGGCATAGGAGCACAACTGATTTAAAAGACCCTGCATCTTCAAAAGAAGCCACTGACAAGTCCAGGGGATAGGAGCTTTTTTCTCTAATGCTTTTATAACTAGTACAGAGTCCAAGCAGACCAACAGATGACCCTATGATAGCCTTCCCGTCAACAAGACTCCTTGCAAAATGGCATTCAGCTGTACTTCTTCAATTGAGCTCAGGTCCTTTACTCTATCCCTACAATACCAAGGTAAGACAAGTTGTTAGATAGGCAAATTGTTCCAAAATATCCCACACCGAAAGGAAATCTACCTCAAATTTCTGTTGATTTAGATGATTCCCCAGCCCCAAAATGTTCAGAGAATTCTCAAATTCAGAATGAGAAGGCCAAGTAGCTTGGAAAATATTATTAACTTTTATAAGAATAAACTGGACTGGAATCTATTTTCTGTTAAAATATTTTTCATTTCTAGCAAACCAAATATAATATAGACTAATTGCATTCCAACTAATCACTTCCTGAGCCATGTTTCTGTAAGGCAAAGAATTCAATAAATAACCAAAAAAAAAATCAATTTGGTTGAACCACTAGTTAAACCCAAAAACTGGGAACGGAAAAAACATTGGTCCAGATGTTTAGGCTGTTTTTGTTTTGAAAGAAAAGGTAAGGAAAAGAAAAAGAACTTATAATTTAAAAAAAGGATAAAAAAAAACTATATAAACGTTATATAGATTTACGGTAAATGGGTAAGTTTTCTTATCGTTCCCTATTTCTTTCTTTCAAAACAAGCACAGCCTTAGGAATGGCTCAAAATGATGCCAAGCCCAATTAGTTCGAATGATGTCCCTGGATCCACTGTGGCACCACGAGACGTGGGGAGTGTGTATTGGGTGTGTGGTAGGACTTACGGTTGCTGCAGTGATCAGTTTTGTCATGTAGTGGTTCTGGAGGATCATGACCAACCATTGGATGGTCCCATTATTACTATAGGGCATTATTTTTTTCAGATTTTGAGAGGGGGAAAGTTAGTTAATATGATTTTAGTTTTTATTGACCAAAAACTTCGTGTTCTTTTTTTTTTAAATTTAAGTGGGAACAAGGGAAAGTTTATTTTCCTAGGTGAGTAAATAACTTATGGAGAAAGTTGTCAACACTTGAATGGGACGAAAATGTCCTTTTTAATAATGAATTTTTATATCTAAAATGATCATTGCCTCATTTACATGAAAAATAAAAAAACATACCTAAGGTAAATGTTTCCCAAAAAAAAATTACCTAGATAACTGTATTTATTTAAATAAATAACTTAAGGAAAAGCAAACAGGGCTTATATAATAACATAGAGATAATTATAATTGCATGATGAAAGTGTTTGGTCTATAGTCTGTATTCTCTGTCCAACGGCTCCAATAGGACTATGTCGCACCGTCCAAAGGAACTCAATAACAACACACACTTGCTACCATTTCATGTGGGACCAGTTGCTTTTTGGTGGTTATGAGGAGTACACAATCATATATAGCAGATGATCAGGACCTATCATTTAGCATGGGTCCCACCTAATAGAAACTTTGCACATTTAGATTCACAGTTCAACCGTCTAAGTCGCTATCTTATCTAGTGAGGTTATATCTTGTTCGATTTCTAAGTCATTGTTTTTGCACGTTGGATAATTATCAGAAGACCTGGCTGGGCTTTGCGTTCAACTTTACACTATCTTGGGCTTGTTTCGAGACTCGGGATCTCCTGTCCACAAGAATTCTATTTATGTTTATTCGCAACACACTACCTTATGTATTGGGAACATCTTTTCATACATAATACTATGCAGCACACTACTCTTGTACATTGAGAAC